TCTTGCTGCTTTTAATATTCTCTCCTTGTCTTTAACTTGACGTTGTAACTGTAACGTCTTGGTGTGGATCTCTTTGGGTTCATCTTGTTTGGAATTCTCTGGCATTCCTGGATCTGAATGTCTGTTTCCTTCCCCAGATTAGGGAAGTTTTCAGCCACTATTTCTTGAAATAAGATTTCTACCCCTTTCCCTCTCTCTTCTTCTGGAATATGTTAGTGAGAATGTTAGTCTGTTTGATGTTGTACTCTAAGTCCCTTAGGTATCTTCACTTTTCTCATTCTTTTTTTTTTTCCTTCGTGCTGCTCTGACTGGGTGAGTTTCATTACCCTATCTTCCTGGTCACTCACTGATCCTTCCTTCTGATTCATCTAGTCTGCTGTTGAACCCCTTACTGTATTTTTCAGTTCAGCTATTGTGTTCTTCAGCTCTGAGACTTCTATTTGGTAGTTTCTTATATTTCCCATCTCTTAAAGTTCTCATTGTGTTTATTCATTCTTCTCCCCAGTTCAGTGAGCTTCTTTATGACCATTACTTTGATTCTTTATCCAGTATATTATTTATCTCCATTTCATTCACATCTTTTTCCTGAGGTTTTACCTTGTCCTTTCATTTGGTACATATTTCTCTGTTTCCCCATTTTGCTTAATTCTCTGTTGATTTCTACACAGCAGATGAAACACCACCTCTCCCAGTCTTGAAGCAGCAGCCTCATGTACGAGATAAAGCTTGACACTCAACTCTGATTCAACTCTTGTTTGTCTGTCAAACATTTGTGTGCACCCAAGCAGCCTATTGTATTTTTAATAGTTCCCAGTACCTGAGGATGTGCCAAGACCTGGCAGCATCCCAAAGGGGAGGATCTCAGCTCCTACATTCAGGCTAACTGGAAGCCAGACCCTTAGGCATCAGCTTTTAAAGGTATGCAAATATATACATTCCTGTGGGACTGCAAGCATAAGCCCTGTTGGCCACCAGGGCCAGGTGATCTGGAGGTGTCTCCTGGGTGGCAGTCACAAATATTGGGGTTCCAGATGAGTATATAAATTATTTTCTGGGTGATACAAGCAAGCTGAAGCAAGGCAGAGAGAGAGTACCAAGATGGCATCCCTAGCCTATGTTCCTTGACAGCAGCTGTGTAGGCCACTAAATGTGTGCCAAACCTGAGGTCTCCCCTCAGGCCAAAGCTCCAAGATAAGCAAAGAGGCATCCTTCAAAGAAAGACTGGCCAGAGGGTGGGGGTGGGGTGCCTCAGCCCACTGTCTGTGCAGTGCCCAGGGGGTGGCAGCCTGGCAAGAACCATCTCTGTACTTTTCATACTCCCGTGGGACCTAGGAGTGCAAGCCCCTGGCCACTGGAGTCAGATGACCAAGGGGTGTCCCCAGGGTGGCAGCCACAAAAACGGGCACCAGATGTAAAAGCCAGGGTACTAGATGCATGTATATCTTCCCTCTAATAGACACTGGCACACTGGGGCACAGCAGAGGTTGAGCACACAAGTAGTGGCCACCCTCTCAGAGGCTGCAGTCACAATGATTAGCTAATAGGCCTCCTTCACAGAAAGACAGAGCTCCAGGGTCTGTTGCCTCTTGCTGTGCCCTGGGGGTGCTAGCTGTTTTAAGAACTCTTTCTCCATTAGTTACAGCCCTGCAGGACCCACAGGTGTAAGCCTCACTGGCCACCATAGCCAGGCATGTACCCCTCAGCCACAGCTGCAAAAATCAGGGCACGGAATGAGTTCCTTTGATTATTTATACTTTTTATATTTTTAATATGAGCTACAATTATTAAAATTCCATGGGGCCAGGATCATAAGCTCCCTGGCCTCCAGAGCCAGGTGATTAAGAGGGGTCACCCAGGTGGGAGTAAAAAAAATTGGGGCACCAGACATGTATAAAAGTTCCCTTCCAGGGGCTTTAATATAAACAAGTGAGCTCCCCTCACTTTAAAGCCTGGATCTTTGGCTGCCTCTGAGATAGGCCCTGGGGTAGGTAAGTCCACGCAATGAGCCCTGTAAAAGTGGTTTCTCAGATTGCTACAGTCTGTGGGTCTGAGCCCTCTGGTATTCAAAGTTAGATGTTTTGGGGCTCATTTCTCAAGTTTAGGTCCTAAAAGCTGGGATACATGATGTGGGGTTCAGTGCAGGTGAACTGTTTCTGGTTTTGTTTGTTTAAATAAACTGAATTTTTAAAAACAGGTAAAGAAAACCTAAACTCCAAATAAATAAGGTATTTTAAAAAGTGGAGCAGGAAGGAAAGAGCACTTATTTTAACATTTTAGGTTGCATTTAAAAAAAAAGAATGTAAGCAAACCCAGTGGAACTACATAAACTCTTTGGGATTCACAGCAGTGCTGGAATTCTCTGGTAATTCCCACAGGAGTCAAGACTACCCGTGGAACAATCTAACTATTGGAAATCACTAGTATCTGGCAGGAAGCCAACTAGACAAAGGGCAAAGGATGTGCCGTTCTCATTCCTGAAAGTCTGGATCAAATCCCAGGGACCCAGGGCTGCTGGTGGGAAAGTTGTGAATAAGAAAAGACCATCTCCCCATCTCCACCCAGTTTCCTGTTTCCTTCCTAATCCTCCTCTTTTTGTAGCCCTGTAAATCCAGGGAGAGGAAATCCCGGGGCAAAATACCTCTAAAACCGAAATCAATCAAAGGGAGAACTAAAGTTTAAAATCCATCTATTGCTTTCAAACTGCAGTCAGGCCCTTCTCTCTTTCCTGCTCCAGCAGAAGCAAAACAGGCCCTCCCCCTCAGCTTTCAGGTACAGATAAGGCCTCCATTGCCCAGGTAATTTTACCCACTGATATGGAGATTAATTCTCTCCACCCATGAGAAATGATGCAAATACACTAAAGCCATACTTCTCTTCACTCTTGAGCGCCTGTTGATATGCAGATGTACTAAAGCCAGGCGAGATATTCTGGAAATATTACAATTTTACCTACAAACCCTAATCTCTTTCTCTATGCCTCTTCCATACTCCTCTGCCTCCTGTCACTCAACAATTTACATCCTGCTTGGTGGAGGAGCACAGAAGGTACTAAGCCACCTATTTCAGGGCGCTTACATCTTAATAGGGAGCTCTTACATACTCAGGGTAATATTTTCTGTTGCTAGAAATTCAAGCCTCTATAATGGCCATGGGGAACTGGTCTGCTTTCAAGCACAGCATTTCCTATTCCATTAAAAGTCAGCTCAGGTGAGGTGACACCAATGACAATGTCTTTAGATCTAACTGCTGGCTGGTGGGGATATATTGGGTCACAAAGACATCATTCCCTCAAACCCCACTGCTCTCTGCAGCTCACACAGGACGTTACCCTCCTCTCATATATCCACACCCCCACTGTCTGGCTTATCCTGCTAGCCTTAAGTCTCAGTTAGATGTCCCTTTCTCTAGGAGGCTTCAGTCTCTTCCCCCAACAGATGCCACAATCTGGGTCCTGTCCCTCTGATGTACCCCCGTAATACGGAATGCCTTCCTTAAGAGCTGTTTGCACTGGCTTGCAATCCATGCAAGTAAACTAATACCCAGCACAACCCTGACATTTAGCAGGTACTCAGTTGACTGAATAAGTGAATGAATGAATGATCTATTCATATACACTGTAGCTCTGCAGAGACCATGACTGTCTCATTTCCCCATTGCACCCTCAGTACCCAGTCCAGTGCTTAGTCCACGGTGGACACACAATAATTATGTTACTTGATTGAAAACAGTCTTTATAAGAAAGGTACTTGCATCTATGCTGCTATTGATAATGCTCTGACATCCTACTGCAAGAGCAAGAAGCAGAGCCCAGTGACCTAGATACTCAGAAAGAGAGGACAAAGCAAGACAGGGGCAAAGCTCTGGGAGTCCAACTGTCCAGCACTGTTGGGGTGGGCTCCTCCATTCAACCACAGTTTTAGTTTTCTAGGGATTCCTTATCTGAGTCTCACAAGTAGGGCTTCAGAAGATCCATGAATCCTGTGACACTTTAATCAAGCACCCATGTCAGTAGCTGTACATGCTTATTTCTGGAAAAAGATCCATGCCTTTCAAAGTCTCAAAAGGCTGGGATACAAAAGGACGAGTACTCTGACCTACATCGTCCAATATGATAGCCACTAGGCACACAGAGCTATTTAAACTCAATTTAAATTTAAATTAAATTTTCAATGCCCCAGTTACACTAGCTACACATCTAATGTTCAACAGCCACTACCTATTGGCCAGCCCAGACCTAGAGCACTGCCATCACTGCAGAAGGTCCTACAGAGCTGCTCTGTATTGGCATTTCTCCAGATTCAGCGTACAGACAAGATTGTTTGAGTCATGCACGGAGTGCTTTTGTAAAATGAGTTGCCCTCGTTTAGAAATGAAAACAGACATCATCCGACATCCTGATTTCTTCTGGGGAAAGGGACCCAACTGCCAGTTTGCGGCCTGCACTTCCCCTGGCAGCTGGAGAGCACTGGGCTGCTCAGTGTAGAGGGTCCCTTGGTCTTATTGCATTACCTGCTTGGCTCTCCTCTCACACTGGAGTTTGTGACCCCTTGTGAGCCTCGTTTCTAGGGGAACTTACCCACTCTGGTCTCTTTCCACTCTCCTGTGTTTGGAACCAGATTCCAAGTTTGGGCAAGTGGGGTTGAATTTGGCTTAAGAGCACATCTTGAGGCGGGGTCCGGGTCTGAGATTCGGGGACCCGGCTGGGAGTAGGGGAGGGGCGGCACCCCTCTCCATTCTATTCTCCGGAACTGGAAGAAGACGGAGGGAATTTTATCCCGAACATCTGTTGCTTGACAAAGAACTTCTTCCCCGTCTTCCTAAGAGCCCTCCAGTCCCCGGCCCAGCACGCTGGGCCCGCCCCTCGCGACGAGATCGCGGGGAGGGGCGGAAGCAACACCCGAGCCCCGCGCCCACCACCCTGGCTGGCGACGTGGCTCGGCGGCCGCAGCCTCCCCCCGCCGCGCGGTGGCCAATGGGCGCGTGAGCGGGGCAGCCGGCGCTTCCCTGCCTGCGGCCGGGGCGCGCCCCTCCGCTCGGGCGCGGGGCGGGCGCTGGCCGAGGGGCTGGCCCGTCCCCTCCCCCGGCCAGCCTCAGCCCCATCCCGGCCGGCGCGGCGCCCCCATTCCCGAGTCGCCGCTCGGCTCGCTCGCTCGGTGCCTGCCTGCGGGCCGCTCCCTTCTCCCGACGATGGCGCGTGACGGCCGCGGCCGCCGCCTGGGGCTCGCCCTGGGGCTGCTGCTGGCGCTGGCGCTGGCGCCCCGGGCGCTGCGGGCCAAGCCCACGGTGCGCAAGGAGCGCGTGGTGCGACCCGACTCGGAGCTGGGCGAGCGGCCGCCCGAGGACAACCAGAGCTTCCAGTACGACCACGAGGCCTTCCTGGGCAAGGAGGACTCCAAGACCTTCGACCAGCTCACCTCGGAGGAGAGCAAGGAGAGGCTGGGGTGAGGCCGCGGCCCCGGCCGCGCTCGGGGGCGTCGAAGGTGCCCGCGGGGCCACCGGGGCTGGAGCCCCGCAGGGTGCGAGTCGCAAAGCGAAAGCGAAATCGTGCGTGCGGATCCGGGGGCGGGGCAGCCAGGTGCCCGAGGGCACCGGGACCCTGGCGTGGAGATCGCCGCCGCGCCCGGTCTGGCGTGGCTCCCTCGGAGAGGCCGGAACGTGGCAGCGGCCTCGGGAGCCCGGACGGCGAGGCCTGCCCCCTCCCCGTGGTTGCATCAGAAGGCTGGGGGGGGTGGGTGTATAAAAGAAGTCTGTCCTCTAAAGACATGAGTTCTTCCCCACCCTCGCAGTTTCTCTCTTCTCCCCCCATTCCCTGAGAGGAGCGTTTGACACAGTGCTAAGAAGGTCTGAAGGATGAACAAAAATGGATAAAAGATGAAGGGGTCAGATAAAGGAGAGGCTTGATTCCTGGTCTGTTCCCTGCCCCGAGGCAGGCCTGTTCTTTCCTTCTACCTAAACGCTCCACAAATTTTAAGTAAGGATATAAAAATCCTGTTGTTAAGAAGGGAGGGGCATTGGGGAGGTAAAGGGGATGGGAATGGAAACTGGTCCCCAAGTTTCTTTTTGCAGCATTTGTCTGCAGAGGCACCCAGTCCTATGGCAAAAGACAAAAAGCAGGCTGGTCTGTAGGCGGATTGTGAATTTCACCGTGGAAGGCGGTTGAGTCAGGAACCAAACCTGGGAAACAAAACTTTGGTATCTCAGTGCACCCTCTTCACGTCCCCTGGGGAGACATTTGGCATTGTGCAAAGGTATCTGGAAACCCTTCCACAGAGCAATCAGCAGCCAGCCTGGTCCCAGGTGGAGGCTGGGCTGGGAAGGGTCCCATTAACCCTGCCAACTAGGCACCAGGCCTCCCTGAACCTGGTTCCTGGAGGTGGAGGATCTTCATGTCCTTCTACATAAAAAAACACAGCCATCCCTGTGCTGGTGGGGGCTACCAAAGGCCAATGTGGTTGGTTAGAATATGAGGTTAAATTATACCTATTGTGTAGGTGTACCATCTGCCTGCTTTGATAAAAAGATCTTTGAACTTCAAAGTCACCTCCAAACAATCACTTTTTATTTTTCAGAGAAGTACTTTCTCTTCTTGTTTGAGATTTAACAATGGGGCCATTGATAAATTCATTCTATTGTATTGCTTTGAGGCACTTGCAGACTGATTTATTCTGGGGCCCTGAGTGTCTGGCAGTAGTTTAGAGCACTGTCATGGGGAAGAAAGAGGAGGAGAGTTTAGGGTTTACAGTCCTACAGATTCCAGTTTAATGCCTTCATCATGACCAGTAAGCCTTAGTAGTGAGAGCAAGTGCTAATGGAGTTGGTCTGCATTTGATCCTTGTATGGACACCTTCACTTTATTCATTTATTTATGTAACCAACATTTGAACACCTACTGCAGGCCAGGCACCTTGATAGGTACCTGGCAGATATGAAGATAAAACCTTACGGTCTTAGTCCTCAAGTACTTATAATCAGATGTGGGGGGTGAGACACAAGCAGACACTGATGCATGATTGCTCTAATGCTCACATGTAAAAACTACAGGGACCACCTCCAGGGGAAGGAGCCCCTCAGGCCTCAGGCTGGAGGGAGGGACTTCGGAGTTTGGTATCATCAACCTGATCAGAGCTTGTGGGGTAACTCAGAGGTTGCCAGGTATACAGGCAAGGGTAGGCATTCCTGCAGGGAAAACAGCCTGCTTATCAAGGCTTTGAAACCTGTTCTGGGGTTTGAGGGGTATTGGGACAGTAAAGGAACAGGACAGAATAAATGGGAGGTGGAAGTGGAGGGGAACCCAGGGCAGAGCAGGAAGGACCTCTGAGAGGTGGAGATTAGATGTTATCCTGTACATGGTCAAAATGTCTTCATCCCAAAAACTCTTTAGAAAAAAGTCAGACTGGCAGTAGGGCAGAGAACATTAACTGAGGCACAGATGGGGAGACCAGAGAAAGGGCTAGTGACCATGAGGGCGTGAACCAGGCACAAGCCGGTCCAGACAGCAAGAGAGGGAGAACACAGACACCTGTGGGAGGTCGATCTGGCAGTGCTTGCTCTTAACTCAACGTGGGAGTGGGGGAAGGAGGGAGGAATCAAGGGTGACATCTGGGTCTCTGGCCTGAGCCACCAGATGGATGGTGAATACACTGCTTGCCTGTCTGGGCTAGCAGCAGGTAGGGTTGGAAATACCGGGTGCAGTATGGGACCAGGCAAAGCATGAAAAGCCACATCTGTGTCCACAGCTCCTGGTGCAACAGTTCCTCCAAGTCTGAGCTGCTGAGGGAGGAGCATGGCAGGATCCAGACACCTTTATCACCACTACCTGACCATAGCTTAGGGAAACACCTGTGGAGACACCTAGGCCAGAGGGCTACAAAGTGGAGACCCATAGGCTGCACACAGTGACAAACAGCCACACCATCTTAGAAAAAATATGAATTACTTGCCAGCATTTAAAATCTGAGTGTTTTCATGCACACATCCCACTTTCTGGTTTTTCTTGACACCATGGACTTTTTTTCCCATGTGGCAGTCATTGTCTGGAGCAAAGCTGGGCAGCCTTGTGGGAGGCCAGTAGGGGTCTCCAGGTTGCCTTAAGCTCTACCTGGAGGCTCTGCTCTTGTCTGTAACCTGCTGGGTGTTTGCTGAGTTCTCCATCCTGTGCTTAGTGAGGCAAGGCACACTTTCTCTCCTTTATTCTTCACAATATTCCTGGCAAGCTAGGCATTCCAATTTATAGTTAGGTAACTGAGACTCAGAGAAGCTGTGAGTTCCTGGAAGAGGGTTTCCCTCTTTTAGTCTTGAGACCTGTTAAAATTGTAAATGAAGGGGCATGTTAAAGCTGATAGCAATGTTTACCCTTGACTGAGGAAGAGGAGCTTGGGCTACCCAGGTTCAGGTAGGAGATGGAGACTTAAATAATAATGAATTCATTTCCCGTGTCTCCTTAATCAAAGAATAACCATCAAGCAGAACTTATATTCACAGTGAGAAAGTGTACCCACTGAATTGACAGAATTCTAGCCAAAGCAAAGAAACAAATCCTTAGCAGCCTGTATGACCTCATCCCAGGTAAAGGGACTCCTTGGGTAAAACTTTTTTAAACATTGGATATAGCTTGTAGGTGCCCTTGAATTTCCCTACACAGGGTGTCCCCAGGTGGCCCCACTCTGTGGCCTCAAGAAAGACACAGGTGAGTTCCCGACCTGATGCTTGCTCTGGTCTTGGATCTGGGGTGCATCAGTGGAGTCAAGTGGGAAATCACTGGAACCTGGGCCAGCTGTGGAACAGGAGACACTAGTGGACACAGAAGTCTTCACCAGAGAGCAGGCGTTTAGGCTCCTGAGCTGCACAGCTGGTCAAGTTTCTTGAACAGGTTCCCTAATGTCAAGGCTCTTTCATCCCTAACATTTTATTCTTTGTCCAACAAGATCTGGTTTCTTCCTGCTTTAAGTTTCAAGCCTTTAAGTCGAAAGTGGTGACATTTAGAACACAAAGAATTCACTTATGTTTTGGTTTATGTAGAATTTTCCATTTCTTTTGCATTGGACCTAGAGCCAGAAGACTTAAGTTCTTACCCGAGATGTTCTAAGTACTAGCTGTGTGATCTTGGAAAAGTCATCCAATTTCTCTTGGCCTGGATTTCCATTACTCTAAAATGAAGGAGTTGGACAACATCAGGAAAGGTTGCAGAGTTTCATTGTACAAATCACGTCAAATCAATCAGTAGTGTTTGACCACAGAGCACTTGTGTTGAATGTGCTGGGGTTTATCATGTAGGTTTATCAGGGCATGATCCATGTATCTGCCATTGGCACTGGGGGTGGGTGGGGGTGGTAAGGCATACATCCTTGGAAAAAGGGAACTTTGAGATCCTTTCTAATACCATTGGATCACTGATTTTATTTAAACTGTTTATGCATTTTAGATTGTGCAGGTATTTTATCTTTTTCTGGATCAGGATCACACAAGCCTTGATACTAGCCTTGTGGGTTGTTCTTTGTTTTGTTTTGTTTTGTTTTGTTTTGTTTACTACAGGAAGATTGTCGATCGCATCGACAGTGATGGGGACAGCTTTGTCACCACTGAGGAGCTGAAAACCTGGATCAAACGTGTACAGAAAAGATACATCTATGATAATGTTGCTAAAGTCTGGAAGGATTATGATCGGGACAAAGATGATAAAATTTCCTGGGAAGAATACAAACAAGCTACCTACGGTTATTACCTAGGTAAGAGGTGCTGCAGGGGCCGTTGCATGGCTGGGGCCCGCATAACATGCTCCCTCATCATACCTATGTTCTCAGGGAGATGTTACCAGCTACTAAGTAGAACCTGCTTGTGTAGTGTCTTCCTCTGCTTGTTAAGAATGTACTGAGTTGCTTACTCTGAGTGAAGCTGTAGGTGGTGAGTGTGAGGTGGGATTCAGGGTCTGATAAAAAATTACTTAGGTTGCTGCCCAGCCAGAGTTTACAATCTCAGAGGCACACACAGAGAAAAAAGCAGAAAGGCCGTGTGTTTGTAGGACAGTTTCAAAGTGCTACTGAGTTGCAGATAGCAAGGATGGGGTGGACTGGGGGGCCAACGCAGGCTTCTTTCTTCGTGCTGAAGGGTGGTTTGGGAGCTGGGCCTTGAGAAATGGGTATCTATTGAGAGAAATGAAGACAAGTGGGGAAGGTGAGTCAGCTGGAAGGGCAAAGGTACGGCAGTGCATTTAGCAATAGGCAAGGTTTGGACATAAGACCTGCATGTTTGGGGGAATAATGAAGGGGTGGTGTATGCAGACCCACATGTGTGGTAGAAACAGCAAGGAGACCAATCTGAGGAGAACTAAGGAGCACACACGGCCAGATTCAGGGAGATCTTGAAAGCTAAGCAAAAACATTTAAACAAAATGTCACAGGCCCTCAGGAACCTCTGCAGGTTCTGGATCAATGATATGAAAGCAGGCTTCTGCAAAGGTGAGTATGGTATTCATATGGTCTATAGTCTGTGCTTTAGCCACTTGCTATAATGCCCTATGAGGGCCTGGATTTGGGGGGGAATAAAGGAACAGATGCTAAAGGTATTCTGAAATAAAATGTTTCAAAGAACTTGATAAGTCAGGACCTTTTGTCCCATGTGTAGCACTTGGGCACGAATGCGAGTGACCTGGGGTAACGCCTTTCTTAGCAGCGCAGTGTAATGTTCTTGCGCAACCCTGCAGGAAATCCCACAGAGTTCCATGATACGTCAGATCACCACACCTTTAAAAAGATGCTGCCACGTGACGAGAGAAGGTTCAAGGCTGCCGATCTTGACAGTGACCAGACAGCCACTCGGGAGGAGTTCACTGCCTTTCTGCACCCTGAGGAGTTTGAGCATATGAAAGAAATTGTGGTTTTGGTAAGATAAAGAGCCAGGACAGGGGGAAGACAAGGGTGAAAGCTGTGCCAGCGTCTTGTCCCTCCATCCCAAGAGAGAAAATTCTTCAACCTGATGAGAACTGGGGAAGGACTGGGAAGGGGAAATAAACTGAAATCTCTGTTTACCCAGTAGATCAGCCAGGGCAGGCTGGCTGCTGTAACAGAGAGCCCCAACCTGTCTGACACATCAGGGCTTATTTTTCGCTTTTATCAAGTCCAGTGCAGATGGTCCCAGTCAGGTGGATCTTCGGGGTGGTTCCCCAAGTGCTACCAGATAGCCAGGCTACGTCTACCTTGTACTCTACCATCTTGTCATCCTGACAGCCAGCAGGTAGAGAGAGGGAGAGAGGGAATGAGAAGAAGGCACAGCCTACCTTTACTACCAGGAAAGGAACCATCCTTCCTTTTACGTGCCACTGGCCCCTCCTTGCCATGGTGAGGCAGGAAGTACAGTTTAGATGTGTGCCCAGAAAGAGTAAATGGGTTTAGTGAGCAGTGACGTAGTTTCTGTCCCATTTTTCAGCTGTGAAGGAAGTAGAAAAAGATTCTGGAATGGCATGCATAGGATTGTTGACCATAAGGAAGCTTAGTAAGACCAGGGCTGGAAGGACACTCCTCTAAGGAATATTTTCAGGGGGTAAAAGGATTAGACCCTAGTCTTTGAGGGCGGCTGAGCTTGTAAGGCCTCTAGGTGTAGTTGCTTTCCATAGTGTCTTGTAGAGTCCCAAATGTCTTTATTTTCCACGGTAATAAAATACATTCCATCACTCATTTCCTGGGCAGATACATCCTGAGCCAGTTCCAGCAGCTTTGAGAGTGGGAAGCAAGTGGCCAAAGCTTTTGTTTATGATCAGCTTTGGACTATTTGAGTTACCAAGTAGGTGGATGGGTCCACTTTTGCCTCATGCTTTATCTTCATATTTTTCTAAAACCAACTCAGTGTTCATGGCCCATTTAGCACTGGAATCTGTTTTTGAGATTGTCCAGCAGTTCTTAAGCTGGACTCCTCCCAGGTACCCCCGGGGATGTTGGATGGGTGGTGAAGATGGCTGGCTTCACAGAGCTTCCTGATATAATCAGAGCACCTCTGGGCTTATAGGTACATTTTCATTCTAAGAGTGTTCTGCTCTTAAAATTGTGGGGTGGGAGAGATAGGATAGAAGCCACTGCTTATTTTTTATAGGTAAGAAACTAACACCCAGGGAGGTAAGGAGATGAACCAGAAGTCCCTGAGCATTCTGCCATACAAGCCAGACCGAAAGGAGGACAATAGAAAGAATTCCCAGATTTGCTTAGAGCACCTGGCCATCTTGCATTCCCTTTTCCTGTTTTCTTCCCAGGAAACTCTGGAGGACATTGACAAGAACGGGGACGGGTTTGTGGATCAGGATGAGTACATTGGTGAGTGTGGCCTGGAGTCTTGCTCAGCTGTCCCAGCTGGGCAGCATGCCTCCACCCCTGTGTCTCGCTGCTTTCTCCAGAGGTCTCCTCTAGCAACAGCTGCAAGCCTATAGGTGCCACTCCTTTGCCCTCCAAGTAGAGGGGCTTGTCACACTAGCCCTAGCAGTGCAATGTCAGGGAGGCATTATTAGTCCTCAGGCCGTGGAGAGGAGACCAGAAGGCAGGCCCTCCTCTAGGCTCTGGGAGGTGTGTCCCTCACTACACCGGCTAGTTTTACCTGTGCAAAAGGGGACTGGAGATCCCTAGGTGGACAGTGAGGTGGGAGCATACAGTCTGACCACACCTTTAGTAAGTGGGGCCTAGAAGCTCTGTGTAGATGCAGCTGTGTTCAGTGGAACTGTTCACACATGCCCAAGATCTCTGAAGAAGGCATTCATTCTTAGGTAACTCCTCTTACAAAGTGCACAGTTGCCCCGTAATTAGCCATTTTGTGCTTCTAGTTTTTGATCCTTTCATTGGGAGCACTGTACCTAGCAGTTTGTTCTGATGGGCTCTACTTAAAGCAACATCGTAAGTACATTTACTGGTATCTGAGCCCTGGTTGAATGAAGCTCCAGTTAATGCACCTGGGTCAGAAGCCACCCTGCTGGTAAGAGCCCTTCCCTGCAGCCCCATAGCCCTCCAGGCATGCACCAGGGAAGACTGCCACTCCATCCTCACTGGCTGCTCCTTCGGTGCTTTGGCGTGTGGTCCAGCTGCAGGCTGCCTTCTCACAACAGCTCTTCTTCTCCAAGTCTCAATAAAGTAAAAGCTGGACAATCATTTGAGGGATGGGATATGTTTCGTTTTTGTACACATATTTAATAAAGGCAGTTAATTACTTTTCAAAGTAAAACTAGCGCCCAGTTTGCCATCATTCTGTGGTCTGTGGTTGTATTCTCTGCCACGCTGTATATAAGAACAAGTGCCTTCAGTAATTAAGAGCAAAGCTTCTTCGGATCATTCAAAATTATATTTGTTCTGAAGAACTGAGCGCTGTTCTGTGCCTGTGGTAACAGACAGGTAGCTCTTAACACAGTAATTAAAGTGATCTTAGTGGCACTACCTTTGTAGAATAACAGATGCTGACAGCCCCCTTGTCAGTGTAAGCCGCAGAGCCTTCCTTTTGCCTCGTGCATGTGCAAGGGAAGGTTCAAAGCTGTGGACGTCTCACCCTGACAGTGGTGATGAAATCAGAATGACAGAAGAGGCTGATGGATTAAAACAAGCAATGTAGCACTTTTGATTAAAAGTGTGTGCTCTTCCTGGCTCGCTGGAACTCTGCACTGAAATGGTACAAGGTCAGGCAAAATTCTGAGTGGCTTTGCCTAAAAGAAACATGCCATCTTTATACTGGACAAAGGGAGGTGGGGGCATTGTGCTTGAAAATAGGATGCTGAGCATCTCGCAGTCAGAGAGGCCCCAATGTATGAGCTTGTCCATCAAGTGACTTCATTTAGGGGGAGCTTTGTCTTTTAGGCAGGAATGATGGAAAACTGTTGGTGATGTGGTGTAGAGGGAAGAGCACTGGAATTAGGAGTCCTGGCTTCTCCACTTCCTAGCTGTGTAATCACTACCAGCCTCAGCTTCCTTGTCTGTAAAATGAGAATACACAGCAGCCATGCTTGCAGGACTGCATGAAGTGTGTTAGCATGTGAAGCATGTTAGCATGTGACAGTCCTTTCTCAAAAACATGTGCAAATATCAGGTGTGGGTTTACTTTGTGGACAAACCAAGGGTCTTGCCTCTCGTTTTGTTTCTTTCACTGCCTGCTCTACCACCTGACATCCCCAAGATGTGTTTGGGAATCTCTCTTTTCACAGGGTATCTCCCTTTTCCAAGAGGATCTAGTGACTTAGCAAACTATGCATAAACTTTGCCTACTTCTTCCTTTCCCTGCCATTTTACAAAATAAGGATAATAACCTAGCTTACAGAATTTTCATAAGGATGGAATAAAAAGATACATGTGAAGCCCTTTGGAAGTGGTATAAACAATGTGGGAATGAGCACTGTGGTTAAGACCATGGGATGGAAGCCGAGTGCCCATGTTCCTATGTAGCCGCAAGTTCATACTAGCTTTGGACTTGGGTTAAGGCTGTGCCTCAGTGTTTTCATCTATAAAGCGTGAAGAATAACAATACGTACTTCATAGGATTGTTACAAAAACCAAATGAAAAAAAATGTGTTTAAGTACTTTCTATAGTATCTGGACAATAGAAAGTGGTGGTGGTCATTCTACTTACTGGTTTCCACCTATATAGTGGCATTTTGGGTTGTAGAGGGCTTTCACAGAAAGTGCCCCATTTGATTTTCCTAATAAGCTTGTCATTTGTAAATGATCACCTCCATTTTATAGACAAGGTAACTTAAGGCTCTGTCACTGCATTAAGTAAATTAATCCCAATCACTGAACTAAGATTCATCAGGAGCCAGGATTTGTCTTCTGGCTCCTATGCTCAGTTCTTTCTCATCCACCAGGCAGCCTTCAGAGCAGGGAAACCAGTGCCCCACTGTCCTCGGGAGATGGCCACCACATGCCTCAGTCAGGTCTCCTGATTGGTGATCGCCTTCCACAGACTCAAGAGGTTAGGTTTTCTTTGACTTGGGTTGCCACTTGTCTTAGTAACCAAGAACAGCCTTAACCTTCCCTCCTAGCGGATATGTTTTCCCACGAGGAGAGTGGCCCTGAGCCAGACTGGGTTTTGTCAGAGCGGGAGCAGTTTAATGAATTCCGGGATCTGAACAAGGACGGGAAGTTAGACAAAGATGAGATTCGCCACTGGATCCTCCCTCAAGATTATGACCATGCACAGGCCGAGGCCAGGCACCTGGTGTATGAGTCGGACAAAAACAAGGTATTTCACATTCTTCTGGAGTCGTTCCTTTAAGGGCAACAGTTTACATAAGATTGATTCTGCTTGCTTCTTCCGTGACAGCATTGGGTGCTGCCTGTCCTTACCGACTTCTTGTTCTTGACCTACACTAGAGACTTGTAAACTTAAGCCAAAACCATGATAACCCACTGTGGGCTCTTTAGGCCCACACATTCCTGGATCTTCTGCTATGGACCACACGTTAACTTTCACTCCATGACCTAGGACCACGGCAACAGTAACTGCTGTGCACAGAGCATGGATTTAAGAGATATACCCTGCATTGCCCTAGGACAAGTTTGTTCATTCATTCGACAGCAGACATTTATCAAACATCGGTGATATGCCAGGCACAAGGAAGGCCATCCCATTAAAACCCAGACATCCTCAGGCCAGCTCACACTTCTAGCTCTGATGTCCAGTACTTCAATACCTATTGATAAATATCAAAATTAATGAATAAATAAGATTTAGGAAGAAGTTCTGCCTCCTTCCACTTTGATCATTGTTCTAAGTTCTCAGGAACATTTTGGAGTCAGGCCATAAAAGGGAAGTAGAATTCTTCGGGTCCTGTTTTGAGAATGCTGGCACTGCTTGTAGATATAACTGGATTCCAGCTTCTGAATTCCTCAGGGACTTACCTGATATAGTTTAGGATATATTTTAGCACAGCTTTTATAGCAAGAGGCTGTTCCAATTTGGGATTTTGCAGGGCAGAGATGGTAGATGAAGGAGGTACCTGGCAGCTTTTTAATCATTAAGTGTAATAATTTAAATGTTACAAATCAATTAAATAACATGAGCTTCATGTTGAACTGTTACTCAGAGTCAACAGAGCTTCTGTGACAGAGCTCTTTCCTCTCTCCCACAGGATGAAAAGCTAACTAAAGAGGAGATATTGGAGAACTGGAACATGTTTGTTGGAAGCCAAGCTACCAATTATGGGGAAGATCTCACAAAAAATCATGATGAACTTTGATATACAAACACCATAACAGGGCAGACTGTCATAGGCTTTCCTTATTGTCTTGGATGGTTGCTACAGATGTCTCATTTACAGCAGTCATGTCCCTGAAACAGCAAGTTTATAACATCAGATTGTAACTAAAACTGTTTTTCACTCAGTATTTCCTGGAAAATAGTCATTGTTCTTCTTTCAGTAATCTCCACACTAAAACCTTTGTAAATTATAATGCTTTATGGGGGGGATACATTGCTAAAACATTTTAGATTTTTCCATTAAATGGAAACTAAAGGGGAATAAAATTAGAAAAAGCCCTATATTCAGAAGTTGGGTGAACTTGGGGACACAGGCAGAACATGGAGTAACTGCTATGTATTTTAACTGAGAATATTTTACATTTGCCACTGTTGAATAGTTAGTGAGGAAAAGTTCTGATTAAGCTACAGTGGTATCATTCTATGTAGGCTTATTCAGAGCAAGTCTAATATTGCATATTTTTCCTTCTTGACTTTGTATTCTGAGCTGTCACTGTAAATGGTATAAAAAAAACCTCTGTGCATTTTTCTATATGGACCTGCTAATGTGCACAACAAATCCCCATCTTTGTTTTTTTTTGTTTGTACAATAAGAAGAAATTAAGAAAGATAATGTGAAAAAGAAAGGGATTTTTGAGGTAGAGAAAAGATGGATGTCAGTCATTTAAAGAACTATAGGAAAATAATAAATTTTATACTTGAGAAATTATTCTTGACATGTAAATGAGGTAGGTCTGACCTTTGAAAAAGTGAATAGAATCACAGTCCATTTCCTCAGTGATCATCAATAGGAACGAAGAGTGGGATCCTAGGGAAGCCCATCCAGTGGAGTTCTGGGACCTTCCATGACCTTGGGCTTACATCATGGAGTTAAGACAAGGTGATTTCCAAGCCATTGGCTGAACTGGCTGGAACAACTTTTACAGACTGAAATTCCACCTTCTAAGTACAAAGTGAATGAAATAAAGGATCACCCTTAGGATTTTCTACTGTGGCCTGTGGTGTATCACTTCACATGTACTATCTGTGACATTATTATTCATTTAGAATTAAACAGTGGGATGGGATTATGAGATTACAAAGGTTCTGGGCTTTTTTAATCCAATTACAAGAATGTTCAGAATATACTCATATTTACTTGATAAGCATATTCTTCCTTCTCTGTGCTATTTAGGGAATCTGCAGGTCATTACAACTAAGATCTCTCAAAGAGATTTTAAACGGAAGAAAATCCAGACTGCTCACCAAGGCCTGTGAGGCCCTCTGGTATCTGGCCCCTCCCTGCCTCCGGCATCACCTCACCACTCCCCCTTCCCCCTCCCACAGCCAGCCCTGGTGTCTCCCCAGGTCAGACCCTTTGCACTTGCGGCCCCCTCAGATTCAGAACGCCCATCTCCCCAACCTTGGTAACTTGAATAGTGCCTCCCAATGGGACCTTCCAGACTCCATCATTTTAGGGGTTCCAGTTGAACCCTTTATCTCATTTCCCTGTTTTATTTTCTTCTTGGTACCTATTGCCATTTATATTTGCTTTCTTGGGCTGCCATAAAAATTACCACAAAGTGTGGCTTATACAACAGAAGCTCTCACAGTTCTAGAAGAGAGTCTGAAATCAAGGTATTGGCAGGGCCGTGGTCCCTCTGGAAGCTCCTGGGGAGAATCCCTCACTTCGTCCAGTTTCTGGAGGCTCCAGGTGTTTCCTGGCTGTGGCTGTATCATGCCACCTCTGCCTCCACATTATGGCCTTTTCTTCCTCTGTGTCTATTACAAGATATTTGTCTTGGATTTAGGGCCCACCTGGATAATCCAGGATGATCTCATCTCTGCAATGACATCTAAGTAAGGTCACAGTCACAGGTTCCAGGGGTTAGGCGGTAAGACATCTTTCAGGAGGGTACCATTCAACCAACTGCACTACTTGACATCACCTTGTTTACATTGTCCATCTTCCCCAATATAGAATATGAGCTCTATGAGAGCAACAGTTCATGGCCCATTTTATTTACCGCTGTTTTCCAGCAGCTAGAACAGGAGAGCATAGCCTACAGTTAAGTATTCTGTAACTATATGCTGAATGAATGAAAGATGTTACCCTTAATCAAAGAGAATATTCCTCAAGAAAAAGAAAAAGCCTGTAAAAAATAAAATAGCTGATTAAAGATGGTGGTGTGAGAGGACAGACAGAGCCTTCCTCCTAAAACTGGATACAATTAGAAAATACAGTTGGTGCAACTAATCCTGAGAGAGCAACAGGAAAGAGGACGGCGCCAGACTGCATACACCTGGAGAAAAGAGCAGACCTCACGAACGGGGTAACATACCAAAGCTGTGGCCCAGCTGGAACCAAGCCCTTCCCCCACCCCAGCTCACCAGCAGGAGGAAGAGAAACGAAGGAGGGAGGCAGTGGAAGGCCTGGGACTGCTGAATAACTAGCTCTGGAGATCTGCTCTGGGAGCACAAACATACATTTCATGGTGCTTGCATGACACTCGCATCACTACTGGGTTGGAAAGTTAATACAGGCAGAGTTCCTAGAGAGAATTCCAGCCACTTGTGGAAAGCAAGGATCCATATCCGGCTACTCTGGGTGAAAAGCTTATACCTGTGTGCTCGGCCCACTGGTTCATGCAGTGGAGACAGGCACAGCAGCTGGGAAGGAGGGAACAGCTCTTTCCTCCCCGCAGGCACCAATACCGCTCTGCTTTGACCCCCCAACATTGCTTCAGGGGCTGAGCAGCGCCAGAGTAGAGCTTCTGGACACTAGAGGGCGCCATATACAAATATGAAACGCCAAAGAAATTTGGTCCAGAGTAAAATTATTAATACAACTCTGGAGAAAGATTTAAATGACATGGACCTTACGACTCTTCCTGAAAGGGAGTTCAAAATAAAAATCATCAACATACTAATGGAGGTACGGAAAGATGTCCAAGAACTCAGGAATGAATTCAAGTCAGAGATCCAATCGCTGAAGAGCACGATGGAGGGTATTGAAAGCAGGTTGAATACGGTGGAGGAGACGATAAATGAAGTAGAAACTAGAGAAGAGGAATACAGAGAAGCTGAGGCACAGAGAGAAAAAGGATCTCTAAGAATGAAAGAATATTGAGAGAACTGTGTGACCAATCCAAACAGAACAATATTCGTATTATAGGGGTACCAGAAGAAGAAGAGAAAGAGAAAGGGTAGAAAGTGTCTTTGAGGAGGTAGTTGCTGAAAACTTCCCCAATCTGGGGAAGGAGATAGTCTCTGAGGCCATGGCGATCCACAGATCTCCCAACACAAAGGACCCAAGGAAGACAACACCAAGACACATAGTAATTAAAATGGAAAAGATCAAGGACAAGGAAAGACTGTTAAAAGCAGCCAGAGACAGAAATAAGATCACATACAAAGGAAAGCCCATCAGGCTAACATCAGACTTCTCAGCAGAAACCTTACAGGCCAGAAGGGGGTGGCATGATGTATTTAATGCAATGAAGCAGAAGGGCCTGGAACCAAGAATACTTTATCTGGCAAGATTATCATTTAACTTTGAAGGAGGGATTAAACAATTTCCAGATAAGCAAAAGCTGAGAGAATTTACCTCCCACAAACCATCTCTACAGTCTATTTTGGAGGGACTGCTATAGATGGAAGTGTTCCTAAGGTTTAATAGCTGTCACCATAGAAAATAAAACCACAGTTAAGAAAGTAGAACACAAAGGACACCATCAATAGAAC